CTGCCACAGCCCACTGACTAGAAAACCCACAGCCCAGCGCAGTGGGGCACCACTGACGTACCCAGGGAGAAGTGGGACGGGTGGCACTGGGGGCCAGCCGAGGAACACATAACCAGGCAGTGCAGGGGGACGTGGGGTGGTCCAGCTTCGATACCAGAAAGGCCCGGGCCAAGCTGGGCATCGAAAGACGCCTCTGCCAAACGCAGGAAGGGCGATGGCAAGACAGGCTTTCAAATACATTCACCTCAAGTGCCTCTCGACTAGGTGGGTGCGACGGACACGCCAGCTGGCTTTACGGTATCGCATAAACAGCCCTCTCCTCTACCTGACTCCAGAACAACAAATGGAAAACATCCGCACGAGAGTCACCGAGACCGAGACCCAACGATGGGCGGAGAAGGCGGGACAGAAGCAGGCACTTGCCTTGTACACCAGAGAAAAACAGGAAGTGAGGAAGGTAGAATTCATGGACAACGGCAGGGGCAGTGGACTTCTGTGCGACGCCCGAGGAGGTATGCTGCGAACGCGCGTGCTTCGAGCAAAGTACACAGACACCGACGTGGGATGCATCGTGTGCACACAGGGGGCTGAAGAAAAGCTGCAGCACGTCATCTTGGAAGTACTGCAGCGTTTTCTCTCTAAATACAGCGGGACAATTTTCCCGCTATATTTTTACAAAAATTTTCCGCCAAATGTAGGTAAAATATTTCACCGTTAAATTTAGCGGAAAAAAATTCACCCGCTAAATATAGCGGAAACATTTTCCCTCTAAATGTAGCGAAAAAATTTCCCGACTACTTTAGCGAGAAAATTTTTCGACAAATTAAGCGGGAAAATCTTACCCTCGTGACGTCACACGTGAACGTTATGTTTGAAGTTCAAGGTTCTCCTTGGTTCGGCGAACCTTCGGACGTGTGGCGGAATTCTACGAAGACAGCTTTCTGTTCAATGTTGGCCCGCTCCTATACGAAAATTTCAAATAAATAGAAAAAAATGTACCATATTTTTTTCTTTATCTTACACAGCATAGAAGCGACACAAACGTTTAGTTACTTAGTTCGTTAAAATAAAATGCTACATCTTTTAAATACTGCATCTCCGATGCGCTAGATGCGAAGTCGCAGAAAGTTTCACTTTCTGCGCCTGCGAAGCAGGATAGAAGTTCAGTCAAACCCTTATCGAACGTCGCGTTGAAAGTTTGAAAAAGTCGAACCTGCACGTGAGCTTGAAACTTGGCAGGTCGGCAACATTCCTATAGACCAGCTCAACTCTATGGGGTCACGCCACGGGGGTGGCGCTGCTCTCGGCCCTGCGCAAGCGCAGACCCTTAATCTTGCGCTAATTTGGTTTCTGCGCACGCGCCCTACCCACGCCTGGTCTGGACAAACGCGCGCTTGACCGTAAATAAAACATGTTGGTGTATATATAGTTGGAGTGACAATCTTCAGGCGCGGCCACAAGAGCGCTGAAAGCTCCAGTGTTTTGGCCAAGGCCACGTCCCTTGACCAAGCTGACTCTTCAAGCGGGCGTCGCCAGCGACGACTGGGTGCCATCTATGAGGCGCAGTGTCAAGTGGTCGGCCAATGTCTGCCATCGATTGAGGACACTGACCGGTCACTTGAAATCCGCGCGTAAGTAGTTCAACGTTTGATTCTGGTAACATACTCGAATTATTTTCGCGTCCTGACTTCGCCGCTCGAAGTATACCTTCAAGGAGCGTTGTGCCAAATAATCAACAAAAGTATCTACTAAATGCCCTTTGACAATGCATTTAGAGTAGTATTTAAAGTACATTTACTACGGACTATATTAAGTAGAAAACAAACACTCTGTAAAAGTAATTTAATTATATTCGAAGATACTCGGCAAATAGGTTGCAAGTTGGTAATATATTTAAAAAAGTCTAAAGCTCTACTTGTGATGACTTGTCTAAAAATCTCATTCTGCTGTGATCATTATGACGCTCGAAAGCGACTTAGCTGCTGCAATCGATGTTTACAATGAAATATGTCAAAACATGCAACATAATGGGTACCGAAAGAGTTTAAAAAAAAAAGAGGGACTGGCGTATTTTAAGCGTGGCAAATGGCCTGCTTTACTTCGGCGGCAGGTTCGACTTCTAACGTATTCCGCAATAAGTTAGAAATATGCCTTGACGCCATTCGGCAGACTTGACATATAGTCCGGCACTGCATATCTCTAACAGTCAAACTAGAAGCTGATCAGGGAGCCAGACATGATGATGAGTACGCGAGTAAATGGCATACATGCAGGCTCAAGAAAAAAAAAATCCGCTAAAAACAACAGGAGCCTTTGTCGCTGATCAATAACAAGGAGGGAGTATTCTGTCTCCCCAGCCAACTGCGAGGAGGAGTGCCCGTACCTTCAAACTGTCCAAAGGACATTAAGGAGGTCAAGAGAGAACTACAAGTAACATACGATTGCGTCAATGAAACCTTTTTCGATGCCTGTCTTCGCCTGGCAGAAAACTGGGTGGGAAGATTCTGAGAATGAAACAATGTGCACATTGTTTCATTCATGCACATACGGAAGTTGATAAAATAAACGCTTTTGAGCGAGCTTAGGAGCCAAAGGTAAGCCACAATAGTTACACAAGCGGCTTTGGAAAAGCCCAATCTGGGTCAGTGCAGCTCAATAAAGCCAGCAGGATTTAACTTCCTTGGCTGAGGGATTGTTCGAGCTTACTTGAAAACGAGCTCGCGCATTTTCATACAGAGCCCCCTGAGCCGGCGATTTCTGAAAATGGTTCAGTAGTAGTGGTACTTAGTGGTGAGGGTAGCGGAAAATGGTTCATTGTGACCGTACAGAGCATTGCCGTCACAATCTTTCGCTGACGGAACCACTCTAGCTTCAAACAAAATGGGTAAAATCCAGATAACGTTACTAGCACTTTGCTAGCTTAAAGCGTAACGTACCATTTAAAGTCAACTTGGCAAAAAGTGAAGAATGGTGATGGTTGGTGGTTTAATGGTGCAAGAGCAACTGAGGTCAAATTGCACTAAAACAAAGGTTTTCATAAGGAGCTTAGAGGCGCAATCTAAAATAATGCAAGCTATACAGCTAGTGTAAAAGGCCAGTATTATGCAGGAATTTTATAACTCGATTGAACGGTACCAAGGGTTGATCACCAAGTAGAAAATATGAATGAAAAGGAAGATGATCTCGCAACTGTTCTGGAAAGCATGATTGGCGCTGTTGATTTAAAGATTTACAATGCCACAGGATGGGCAAGACAGTCATAGCTTTACCACAGTTGTCGCAGAGCTTAACATCCTCATCGCAAAACAGGTGCAGGTGAGTCAAACGGGTATGTCCAATTCTTAAGCGTCAAAGACGAACTTCAACCTGACTGTCTTTATCAAAAGAGCTCTCCCACACCCCAGACTTGGACGTAGTTCAACTACTCTACTCAAACTACTGTAGTTTAACTACTTTTCCGAGTAACTTGGTAACTTTCAATTACAACTTTATTTGGGTAATTAGTAGTTTAATTTAACTACGTTTTTCGGGTAAGTTCTACTCAAATTACTAACTACTTTTGAAATCTAATCCTATTTCTTTTTTTTTTTTTTCATCACGAAAGTTTGAGCGCAGAAATAAATAAGACGTCGGCAGATGAAGCGGGCATTCCCGAACAAGGGCCCCCTCCCATTCCGTTCCCACGCACTTATACTTGGCAGACGTAGAAACTGCATCACAGGCGTCCTTGGGCCAAGGTGGCGACGAGCAGCCAATACCCAATACATAACAAACACCGGTTCGGACGAACGCAGGCAGAGATGCTTAACAAGCCTTGGTCGGGTATTGACCTAATCCGGTAATGCACGCAGGCCTTTAGCTGCAACCGTGAAAGACGGGGCACTCCGAGGGTTGTTGTTGTTTCATGTCTGCCTTTAGTGAATTCTGACTCCAGCGGTTTGGCGGTTCCTGAAGAGGCGCCACTGGAATGACCTCGCAGCTAGGCGCCTGTTCCCATGGTCGCCTCGTCGTCAGCGCATACGCCTTTTCAAAGCCGGACTCCCCCCCGGACAAACGCAGACACGGATAATCCGTTCATGGGAGCACGTGCTCGCTTCCAGCTGCAATTGTACGAGCGACAATGCTTGTCCACGTAATTCTTCGCGTCCTTCCGACCTTCCACGCCAGAGAGACCTCCTCTTTGTTTAAAATGATTTGTTCGTCAGGCGTGTCAGGGTCGTCAGGATACCGTAGTCGCCGGCGAAAATTGCGAGTCACCCTTGGGAGGGCAGCATCCGCCCTGTTGAACCCGGCGTCAGCGGTGAAGTATACTTCGTTTCATCTTCTGTTAAAGGGGCCCTGCAATCATATTTAAGCGTCTATATTTTTTGCGGTTTCCACGTCCCTCGGGGTTCGGGCAAGCCAGCTGGCACGGAGAGAATAATTAAATATGAGTCCGTCATATTTTAACCGGACGACGCGAAAACCTCCTCCACCTACGGGGGCGACCTACGGTGCCTAAAGCGCGCGAAATGTGACGTTTTTGGTCCTGGCCTTCCTACTGGTCAGAGCCGCTAAAAGCTTTTTTTCGGTCGAAATACAAAATATAAGTGGCGCGAACCGTTTCAATTATTTATAAAAGTAGTCTTTGTTCACTAGTTTAGATCAGAAAAGAAACAAATGCAGTTTATAAAGTACGGAAACAAGAAATGACCCGTCGACATACCCGCCACCAAGCGGTGGAAGAGGCGGCGCGGGCGCGCGGGCTCCTTCGCGGATCCGAGCAGACGACGCACGATGCCGGCGGCGCATTTTGCGAGAAACTAAAGTACGAATTTGTCTCCCGTGGTCTCGCGCTGTGCGGCAAGTTCCAGATTCCTGATACATCGAGGATAAGTGCGGTTGACGGTGCAGCGCCCAAAAGAACTTTACTGCTTGCCTGTAGATGCCCTCGCAGTTTATAGGGATTATGTTTTCTGCAGAAAAATGACAATTGCACTTTCGGTTCCGGCGCCCTAAGGATGAAGTGCCTCGTAAAAGGCTGCGGGCGGGTGCTCCGTAAAGGTGATGCCAGCGTCACATTTCATCGCGTGCCTACCAAGGAGCCACTGCGAAGTCACTGGCTGGAGGCACTTGGAATGAGCAGCGACACCCGCCTACCGGGAGTCGAACGTGTGTGCTCCGACCATTTCTCGGCGGAGTCGTACTTGTCGTGGGACGTCTCCAAGAAAATGGGCTTTGAGCTAAAACGTAAGCGCCTGAGCGACGATTCGGTCCCGTCACTTCACATGGGCGCCGCACCTACTGCAGTGGGCAAGCGGCGCAGGACGGTGAGTAACCAATTTATACGCCGATAGTTTTCACTAGTTCTAGAACGCGAGCACTTTTTCTGTGCAAGCTGCTTCGCTGTGACTTACACAGTCATTGCAATCATTGCTGCTCGTGAGCCGTGGAAGTGTTTAGAAACGGAGCGCAAGTTCGTCTGCTTCTTGCACAGGTGTTGCGATAACGTCAGAATATCGAGCTCTTATTGGCCGATTGAAAAAAAAAAAAAAACAAATAGTAAACCAGTGGCGTATCCAGGAATGCGGGGGGGGGGGGAGGGGGGTTGAGGTGGCTTGGATGTCCACTACTTGGGGTACGCAGGAGGGGTGGGGGTTCAAAATGCAGGTGTATATTATAGGGTTGGCTAAATTTGGAAGAAAGCCCGCCCCCCCCCCTCCCTCCCTCCCTCCCTCCCTCCCTCCTCCTCCTCCTCCTCCTCCCACCCTCGGGTGGCACTCAGTATCAGGACTACCCACTATTCTTTTATATTCAATCAGAGCTTGGTGTCGTTCTGACTTCACCACAACTCCTGTGCAAGAAGCAGACAACTTTCTCTCAACATATGTATCTTGTCACGATAATTGACACTCGATGGATCTTACTTTGGCGACCTGTTCATAAAATGTCTACCCGTCAAGTGTGATTTTTGCAATCACTTAAAGATATCACCTTCAAGTTGACAACGTTGGATGGTACCTCAACATCCTTGTCCAGCTGTATACAATTGATCACTGAAGCCATGGAAAAAGAGTTGGTCATACCTGCAGCTTTTGAATTGTTCATATGTTTTCCATCTAGATCATGTGTTCTGTATGACCGCACCATCTTAGTTACAAATATTAATGCCAACATTAAAATTCTTCCGTAGGATGATCCAGAAACACCGGCAACATGCAAGGAGGACATGAGAACAGATCATGGTCCAGAACACACCATTGTAAGTAGTGGTTGGTAGCTAAACACTATCAGCACTAAATGTACCGCAGGGTTAATTACTACTTCGATGTCACATGAATACCAGAGCAGTCATGTATCCCAAAGGGGGGGGGGGGGGGATGGTGCAAAGATATCCTATCACCTTCAAGTTGACAACGTAAAATGTTACCTTAACATCCTTGTCCAGCTGTATACAATTGATCACTGAAGCCATGGAAAAAGAGTTGGTCATGCCTGAAGCTTTTGATTTGTTCATATGTTTTCCATCTAGATCATGTGTTCTGTATGACCACACCACCTTAGTTACAAATATTAATGCTAATCTTAAAATTCTTCCGTAGGATGATCCAGAAATACCGGCAACATGCAAGGAGGACATGAGAACAGATCACGGTCCAGAACACACCATTGTAAGTAGTGGTTGGTAGCTAAATACTATCAGCACTAAATGTACTACTTCGGTTAATTACTACTTCGATGTCACATGAATACCACAACAGTCACGGATCCCAAAGGGGAGGGGGGGCCCCTGGCCCCCCCCCCGCCCCCACCTTGAAATCTTTCATTTTGCTGGGACCTCCTCTCCCCTCTCTCTTTCTCCCCCCCCCCTCACCCCATTCTCCGAATCAATATCCTGGCTGCATGCCTGTACCACAGCAACATGAAAAGTCATTCCTCACAGGTGCTGTCTGGGCAAGACTTGGCAGTCAGCCCCATTGAAATCGTGCCTGTTGAGGAGGATGTACCCGACTCTCTACGTTGTTCTGTAAGTATACGGTGGTGAACATGAGAGGGAAGGAGCAGAGCCGTATATGAGGAGATTTTGGACAGTCTATGATCTCGCCGCTGCAACGTCCCCCTCCCGAGTGAGCCAATCAGCCCGCGGCGCAGAGCGAGAGGCATGAGCGCATGCGCGTGAACTCCCGGCTGCTCCTAGCTGAGCGAGGAGGGCCGCCATTTTCATTCATCTGCCCGTTGGAATGCATGGGATCAACATCTAAATTTTGATTATTTTCTTTTATATCGCAGGCTCTTACAAAATAATATACCGTTATTCCTCGGTGGGTTAACAAGCTAACGAATGAAGTTTTCTTTACGTTTGACTGCAAACTTTTATTCAGGCGAAAAAGAAGTCGACCTGTAGCAGACGACGCGTAGCTTCAACAGTGCTCTGTACGGGAAGCGTGTTGCGTCAAGACGACGGTCGTCTCCTCTTAGCTCCCTTCTTCCTTTTCCGCTCCTTTGGTGCTCTCCTCCATTTTTCTCCTCTCCAGTGCCTTCGTCGCCACACCCACTGGCCAGACGCAGGAGAGACAACTCAAAGATAAAATGATACACAATAGAAGTGAGAGATTTGTTTCATGTTAACTTGTTTTTGTCCAAGATGCTAATTTTGCCAAAGTAGATGTATGCTAAGTGAAAGAGACGAACAACACAGAGCGCTTCTTGCAACTGAAGTTTACTCACAGAAAAACATATCTATATGCACACACCGTGAAATCAAGACGTGATGACAGAAATGCGACATCATCAAATCAATGCTTATCTATCTACTATCCATTTTACGAAAGATTTTAAAAACGCCACCTCGGAGCCTAGTGCTCTGTGTTGTTCGTCTTTCACTTATCCATTGTTTTTTAGCGCTTTTACCCTCTGAACCATGAACTGCCAACTAGCCCAAGTGCATACCCTTCTATTGTTTAAAATATGTTTTGCTAATTTTCAATCTTTTGTATGGGGAATGCGAACCAGGCTGTTTTAGAGTTAACCACCAGGCACAAACTCAAAGATAACTTTGGACACATTTTCTTTGCTTGCAGGAGCTCCAGCACACAGCTAGCAGCGATCATGGGAACAGCATATCTCTGGCATCTGCTGATCACACATACAGCATCGAAAAAAAGTTGAAAAACAAAGGTGAGCACTGCTTACATCCTGCCTTGTATGTAAATCATTCAAGCCTATTTGGGCTAAGTCTTACATCGAGTGCGGCAGATATGTATATATGCTTGGAGGCTTGGTGTGACGGGTCTTGTCGGGTTATTTCCTCAATCCTTTCCTATCTGATTTCTTTCAATGTCTATTGTCCTGTTCTATGCAGATATTAACTTCAGTTGTTAGTCAGCACTATGTCGGTGCTCTTAGCATTCTTGTCCCTCGTTTTTTGGCAAAGGTTTCTTCTTATTAAACTGACGTGGAGTTCCAACTATGTCTAGGCTTGACAGTGTTGTATTCTTTTCATTTACTGTCACATGGGCGCTGCCTTCTTGAAATCAGATAACATGGCAGTCATAAGGTGGCTTCAATAAATAATAAATATTTATATTATAGAACTAAACGAGTGCCACATAACACAGCCAAATAGCCACGAGCGCGCTGAAATCAGAACGAACAGCAGTGAAGCTACCTAATGGCGACAGGTACGCCAGCATTCTCTATACAACTGCGGAAATGAAAAGGTGTATACATCCCAGTTTTATACAAATTTTCTCCACTTTGAACTTTTTAAACGAGCAGTGTGCCATGGTTAATTCAAGACATATTTCTGCTCGGGCAAGACTTTATATTAACTCGCATAGGTACGAGATATTATAGGCCTTTATTATCATTGTCGACAGCTGCTCCGAAGACATAAAGCAAGCTAGTTTTGGACTTCATTGTATTTAGTATTCTCAATGACTTCACATAAAAACATTGTGTAGCAAACATTGTGGACATAGCCCAACGGAAACCTGGTGGAACAAACAAAGTGCAAGTTTTTACACACATTTCAGCTACACAAGTGAACGTCTGCACGAAAGAGTCAAAAGAAACCCAAACAGACCCGTGGCAACCAGCACCTGCGCCACCAGACGCAAGTTCTGCTCCAACCACCACAGAGCCAACACCTGTGCTGCCATGTGCAAGTCCTGCGCCACCTGCTATGGAGCCACTACTTGCGCCGCCATCGACTACCAAGAGGGCAAGCAAGGAAAGTTTCTTTGAAGAGCGGGTTGCCCCTTCACACAAGCCAGCAGAAGACTTCCTGCTTGGGGACATTTCATTTGAAACTCCAAGAATGTGTTCAAGCCCTGTGCCGGTGGAAGATGCAGACACAACTTATGAGCCATCTCAGGATGAGAGCTACCTAAGGTGATCCGCCACAGAGCTCTTCCATTGCATAACAAAGGGTTTCAATATGAGAGCACCATGCTGCAATCAAGAGAAAATGTATTCGAGGGGAAGTTAACATAGCAGAAATTGCTTATAAGTTTAGGGTATAAATTTGCTGCCTTGTTAGGGACCCAGCCCTTTGGTGTATTAGCATTTTTTATGGTAGCTGTCGCTGCGTTACCTGACATACTCGGTTACAGTGTTACGATAGGTGGAGTCACTCAACTCTCAATACAGCGTACAGAAAATATTGCACTCTCAGATTCTAAAAAAGGGGGCACATGGTACAAAAGTCATATGTTCCTAAGCTAATAGAAGTTTAGGAAATTCAAACAAGAAAATAAAGCCATGAAATGACATAGAGTTGAGCAAAATGTTGTGGAATGTTGCACATACCGGGTGTTTCAGCAAAAGCGTTCAAAAATTCTGAAGGATAGAGTAATAGAAAAACAAAGAAACTCTTTTCGAAAACCAAATATGAGCTGCGAGAGACTTTGGGAATCACAAGATATATAAAAATTACCTATCTAAGTAACTGAAATGTGCTAATCTACTTTGTAATGAGCAGTTTTCAGGTTCATGTTGCAATTATAATTTTGAAGGTTACCATCATGGAAGGCTAAAGCAATTTACAGAAAGTAAAAAGAAGACACTGGCTTGATGATATTCGCCGATGAACTCTGCACTGTAATTGGTATGATTTCTGAAATTCGATATCACTGCGTGCATGTCTTATCATACCTATTACAGAGCAAAGTTTGTCGGCGAATATCTCCAAGCCGGTTACTTTTTTTTACTTTCCATAAATTGCTTTAGCCTTCCATGGTGATAGCCTTTAAAATTCTAATTGCAACATAGACCTAGAAACTGCTAATTATAAAGTTACAACTTTTAGTTACATAGCTAATTTTTATATATTTTTGCAATTCCTAACATTTGGTTTTTGAAAAGAGTTCATTTGTTTTTCAATTACCCTATCCTTAGGAATATTTAAGGCTTTCACTGAAACCCCCAGTATACATGTTAATAGGTCTCAAGGTCAAGTACGATGTCTGTGATCCTTCACATATAGGAGAAAGGGTTACGAGGGTGTAAAAAGTGGCCTGTTAGTTCATTTAGCAGTGATGCAACTGGTCCGATTCAGTTTGGAGCAGCTCTTGGAGCGGCAAAGAGAGCTTTGGTAGCATAAGCGTACACTTTATTTTCATTCATTTCACTGCAAATATTACGTTAAGATTAATGTGTTGGCCTGTGCAACTAAGAGGCAGTGTTTACTTTGCCTTGTCACTTACGTGTAACCTTTTGTTAGCATCAATGGCACAGCAGGAGTGATTCCCTTAAACACAGAACTAGCTATTTACTTGCGTGTAGAAGCACCAGACACAGTAAAAGCGAGATGATTGATGAAAGACAGCACATACAGCCGTGAATGGTTATTTTGGCCGTTCACCCTTGTTGGTGTTAGACTGGTAGCAGCTCTCTTTGGTCTACAGACGTCCAACTCCTGGTTAGCTCAGTTGGTAGAGCGCTCCACTGGAAATGAAGAGGTCCCTGGTTCGATACCAGGACCGGGCGAATTTTTTCGGCCGCACACCAGTCACCTAGATGTGTTTGGAGATTTGTGCTTTTCCTTTGTTCCCCTTCCCCGGGGAATGTTTTTGTCATGTAAATTTATGTTTCTTGTTTGTTTTTTTTAGTTCTAGAGGTTGCAAGAAAATTGATTCTGAATGCAGATGAAAAACAAAGCATACAAAATAAAATTACAGAAAAGTCCATATAAATCTTCTTGCAATACCAAAGTATCCTTGCGAAATCTCGAATTGAAAAAAGATAGTGCCAGGATATCGCAGTCTATCGTATGGGAGTATTCACTGGAGGCCATACCTTTGTGCATGACTGCTGAGCACGTGCTGATGGCATGCATAAGCAGTGTTTTTGCAACATGGATTACAAACCATCAAGGTTGCCGGTCGGAGCAGCCTATTAATGTGAGCTCGTTCTGAGAATGCGCTATAAATCGCCCACTCAAATATGGCATCCAGTGAATACAAAGTTTTATTCTGAAATTTTGCCACGTCTCGCTCTGGAGGAGTGCTTTAACCTGACCACACGGGTGCACTGCGGCAAAGCAAGACATGCAAAATCGCAATGACTACTTTGTCGCTGTCGCTTTACTGCAGTACATCAGTGTGCAATGAGAAGAACACTCAACGAACTAACTCGCCAAAGCAGACCACAAAAATAAGAATTATTGCGAAACTTCCGAGTACATTCAATGTTTGACGTGAAATCAAATGGAGTAATACGTTATTTGAGACGATTATCGAAACTTCTGAAAACCCGCACAAGCATATCATAATCATCCGGCCTGGTGGAGAGCCCTGAGCTATTCACTTCTCGGTATTAAAGTGAAATGAAGTTGTGGCACAATGTTGGTGCAAATTCCTTACATTTCGGTAAAATGTCGCAGAATAAGCCCTTTGGCGCAGTTTGGCACAAATGGCGCAGCAATCACATCATTGATTTAGGTTGTGACTGACCCTGGGAATATACTTTGTGCAGCGACTCAGCCCCATCGCACCCCCCGCACGAGGAGAAGAAATACATTGTGTTTCAAAGTTGCCTCCTGCAGCTGTTCCGGCAGTGCATCACATGCCATGCAACATGCACACTTCAAACCTGGACCCAAGGCACAATGATCAAGGTGAAGGCTGTGTGTCCCGACAAGCATACGAGGACTTGGCTGAGTCAGCCACTCATCAAGAACAAGGCTGCTTGCAACGTCCTCCTGTCCACAGCTATTGTGGCCACTGGTTCCAGCCCTTACAAAGTGCTGAGGCTCCTGGAACTCATCAACATCCAGGCTATTGCAGAACGAACATACTTTCTTTACCAGACAGCGATCGTGCAGCCTGCAATTGAACGAGTGTGTGCCTGAGCTCACTTACTGTCTGCCAAGGGCCATGTTTCTCTAAGTGCAACTTTGGAGCCGCATACTCCCATAGCTTTTATTAATGTGCGACCTTGCTTCTGAAGTCCAGCAGGCGATGGTTACCACCAACAATATGCTTAGACAGCATCCACTAAAAAAATTAGAAGTTTGTTTTCATACTTTGCATTTGAGTTGGCATGTGGTAGCACTAGTGGTGATGCAACAACTTGTTGTTGCATCACCACTTGTGCCTGCTGAACAAAGCACAAAGAAGGACAGACGGATAGCACCCACTGCTCGAGATGACAATCTATTCTATATACTATGTGGCACTGCATGTGAAAGACAAAGGTAATTTCGCTACAAGTGTAGCTGCCCACTCGTAATTTGTTAACAACGAAAAATTTATCAGTTTGGACAAATATTAACGAAATTTTTCCTAAAAATGTAATTATTATTATTTCTTAATTTTTTTTTTGCAGGTGTGGAATCGAGAGCAAAAGAGGCTTCTTGAAGAGAGGCGGGGAAAGAAAGTTCACTTGGCTGGAGACGGGAGGTTCGATTCGCCGGGCTTCTCCGCTAAGTACATGACGTACACGTTCATGGAGATGGACACCAACCAAGTCGTCTACTTCGTACAGGTCTGCCTTGGAGAGGCAAGTATTTCATGCTTTCAGGGAGGCTTTTTCGTCCTTCTAGTAAAGTTAAGGGGACTGTGCAAGGTGACTGTTTATTGAACCTAAAAAGAAGAAATTGAAATAAAATGTTAGGGGCAGTTTGACCATGTAGCCATTCAGTTTCCTGACTCATGTGTGGCTAATAACTCGTGTGCAATGCCACTCACACCTTCCTTTCAATAAAATTGCTCATAACTTAATAAGTTGCTGCTTAATCATTTAGTAACTCGGCACTAATTGTTTTCTACCTGCATACCGTATTTACTCAAGTAATAGCCGCACTGCTTATGAAGAAAACCTGAGGGTTTGCTTTTCTGTGGAGCTTGCCTATCATTGAGATTGACAGCACGATTCCAGCAGTTTACAGGACAGAGATAACGTCTTTGCGCAAAGATACCATCTGTGAAGATTGCATTTGTATGGAGAATCGTGTTCTCGATCTAGTTATTCGCTATGTTATTTATGCACAACGCAATGATTGGCCTATATATGTTTTGCAGTAAAGTAGATGCAAGGGCCTTGTTCATAAATAGTGCAGCTATTACTCGAGTAATTATGGTATGTTGTCCTTTATACTATCTGGGTACCTCCATCGTTTTAATATCAGATGGCAACAGGTTTAGATGTTTTATATGCAACCATTTTATATAAGCTGACCAATTTTGCTTTTTTTTTTTTACCCCAATCTTTTTTTGTCATGGTTTGGATTTGAGAATGTCTAAATAACATAATATGCAACATGCTATTATTGTGCAACCGTTATTTTTACAATTACAGGCTCCTGAGGTCAAGACCAGCAACTCCATGGAGCTGTATGGCTGTGTCAAGGGCATAGATTTCCTCAAGCGGCAGGGCATCACCATTGAAGACTTGGTGACCGACCGTCACGTCGCCATCAAGGGCCACATGAAGACGAAGGAGCCCGAGATACATCACTACTTCGATGCTTGGCACATAGCAAAAGGTGCTAAACTTTAATCATTATTCTCCATGTCCTTTGTGGCATCATACCAGTCTGCCATGAAGTCGACATTAACAGCTCTGTGTACTGACTAGTTCCTTTGTGCACAGGCGTAAGCAAAAAGATGCTGGCGGCGAGCAAGTATGCAGGGTGTGGTGCCTTGGTGCAATGGGCACAGCCTGCCTCCAACCATGTCTACTGGTGTGCGGCCAACAGCGAAGGAGATGGCAAACTCCTCGTTGACATGTGGAAAAGTGAGAAACATTTTCCAAAACTATATTGTGTTTATTTCTAATACACCGAGCAGTGCCAAAGCATTATGTGAGGGAGTGGGTTACAGATAAAAAATGCTTGTATAAACAAATTATCCCAGCGAAGCTGTAAAAATCACTAATGTGCATCTGCCAGGCCAGTAGCTACTCCACGGCTGGCTGCAGCCATCACATATAAAGGTGATTTGTGCGTTCCCTTACCGCAGGCACGGTGAGAGTTGTGAATCAGATCAGGGACTGCTTTTACTCTACTTGAAGACGTATCTGTCGTGTATTCTGGGAAATAATCGCAGCAAGTCATAGCAGTCTACCTGGAAAAAGTGTGGGTCCAGGGTCACATTTGACACTACTGTAGAAACCTGCATACACTAAAAACTTCATATAATACAGATCACTATTTGCAAACCGACAGAAAATAATATTAAAAAAAAGATTAACCCACATTTAATGCGACTCCGGAAAATGAAGTGCAAAAGCCAATGCTTGTTGGCTTTGAAGTCCTTTACTATTGTGGGATGCCCTTCTGTCTTACTAGTTCCATTGCCTCCGCCCCTAGTACCTCAATTGTTTATACCAGGATGCAAAGTACATTATTTTTTCACAAAGTGTGCCATGTCTACTTTCACCCCAGAAAGTGCTTCGTTCTTTGGACACCGGACACCTCTTGTGCTGTTGCATGCAGAAAGGGGTTGTGTCTGTTGCCTCCACCCTTGTATCCTTCCCTCATTTACAGCCAACTTTTGCCATGCTGCTGCCAACTGTCTTCTAAAGTCACTTGTTTCGCCGTGTATCACCTCCGCAATGGTCCCAATGAGGTGCTTGGCGAGATTTTGATAGCAGCCAGGCGATCGACAGTGGCGACTTTGGTTGATTAAGTGGTCGGGTGATGGTACAACAGCTAACAAAAGCGTGATAATGATTTTGGTTACTTGGGAACCGAAACTACGAGAGACTGTGTTTTAACTGACCTCATGAATGCTGAAAATTGTTTGAATCTTTATATAATACAAGACACAATTCACATGCAAAAACATAAAAAAAATTCCTCGTATTACTCACATTTCTGTGGTATATTATGCAGTAGTGCATTCGCATCTAACATTTGTCATTGCAAAAACAAATCAGCACACTATCCTTGCATTTCCTTATAATATTAAAAAAGAACATTGAGGGATGATGTTTCAGAACAACCTATTGGAGGAATACACTAGTACATGTAGAAGGATGTAGGACACACGCCATATATAACAAGCTGTAGTTGACCGTCCCAGTGGTATGTCTGTCCCTTTTTCTCTCTATATTCTATTTTCCCTAGTTCAGCTGACCTTTTATAGCCGTATATAACTTTTGACTGAAGTTCACGCCCAATGCCAAAATCACCCAATTTTGTATAAAAATATTATATTATAGAACAAATGTGAATGCAAAAAGGAAGCCAACATGACAAAATAAGCAGAGCCCAGCTATACAAACTAGCTCCTCAAACATCGCCTGATCAGAAAGCAATTCTATAATATAAAACTGGTATTCGGTAGTTATGTAAACTGGAGGGTGACAGCAGAAACTTTATGAAACTGCAGGCATCAACAATCATGCCTCGGATGTGCATACTGGCCACGGAGGGATCTACAACCGCTGCCTCCATGACCCTCTCATTGGAGAGAGGGAGTGGCTCTCTCCAGGTCAGTAGATACCCATTTCAATAACTTAGCTTCACTCACTTCTCTGTCTGGTATGACTGCATATGTATATTGTGGGGAGGGTAAGTAGAAAGAACCTCTACAGTGAGCAATTTTTATTTCAGGTACCCCAGCATACAAGCGTTTTGCAGCAATCACGACACAACGATTGCTGCTCAGGGACCTCGAGCACGTCTCACCCGCGGGCCAGACCTACAACCTCGAGTCTTATCACAGTACTCTGACAAGATTTGCCCCCAAGTCTGTTGCATTCAAGCCCGGCATGATGCTTGCCAGGTTTGTCTTTTGTCAAAAAAGTTGGCACACCTGAAAGAACCCAGTCTAGCTTTGTGTCAGGTGCGCAGCCAGGAAGCGGGCCTATCGTGTTTCAGCCCAGCCTACAGCCCTCCAACCCTTCCCCTTCCCCCTGCCTCCGGAGTGTGGTTCCACTCCTATCCTATGCTCAAGGCGCCATTTTGCATGTCCAGTGCAAAAAAATGTTTCCATGCCCTCGGCACCCCCACACGCCAAGAGCTCCACCCCCTAGCCCCCCCCAAGAGCTCCACCCCTTAGCCCCCCCTTCCTCCCTTCCCCCCCCAAAAAAGTCTCTGGCTACGCCACTGTTTTTTGTTAACACTTCCCAACAATGCTTTTGACGGTGGACAACATTTCTGCTTCAGAACCAGGCTGGCTGCCCTCCATCATAATGAGAACTCCACAAGAAGCCAAGCCCTCACAAGGGACGGACGTCTCAAGTGGAAGAGGAGAATGCAGAGGGCAAAGAAGGGGATCGAGACCGTCAAGAAGGAGAAAACCAAGCCTACCTATGGTATGACATAAACAAGTGTGTTGCACTGGGCTTTTCTGAGATAACTGCAAATGTTACCAGTAGCCACTTGTTTGGTTTAAATTTTTTTTTTTGTATAAAGCTTCCCCTATGCTCTCAATTATTACAGCGTACGTCGGCGCACTTCTCCACGAAGTTGTCGCTTGCTGCAACGAGTCGTCCTCCTTCAAGGAGGCACTGGAAAAGACCCGTCAGGAAGAAGTCCTCCCCATGGCGGCGCTGTACCCAAGGCTCCCCAAAGAGCAGCTGGTGGCGCAGAGAATGTCGCGCTTCAGCCGGGGGGCGCCAGGACACTCATGAGGTGAATGCTCCATACAGATACCTTGCAGCTAATTATTTAGCATGAGGATTAGGGGTATGCCAGCTCACCTGGCTTTTTGGGACATAAATCCTTAAAGGGACACTGACACACCCAAAAAAGTTTTTTTAGTGTTTTGCCAGGCGATTCATTATGGTGTCGAAAGACCACCAAATCAATATTTTGCAACAGTGTCACATATATTTTTTAACAAAGTAAGAAAACGCAAATGTTGCGCTTTGAGGCGCTCTTTCGCTAGGTATTCGTTGATGACATTGAGGTCGAGAAAGAATCGCAGCACCACCGGCTTGTGTTAAACGGTCTATTCGACTGCCCGTTCTCTCACGGTCGAGATTCCCCGTCCCCCCCTTCTTCTCACCCCAGACTAAATGTCTCATGCCGGTGGTGTCCATTGTTGTTTTCAACAGCAACTGCTCGAAACTGAAACCAAAACTGGACTGGGGAGGAAGAAGAAATATAGAGAAGGAGACAGCGGGGGGAAGCCACGTGGCTGTGCAACCTTTTTTTGTCTTCAATCGACATATTTCCGGCTTTTTAAAAGCCACAAAAAATTGGTATGATATTTAATTTTTATTTTTAATATTGAGTGTTTGCCTTCAATGGCCCACGACGTTGATTATATTTAGTGGTTGTGTCTAAACCAACCAAAAACGGCACGTGACCTTGGAGAAGAAAATAAGCGCGACTCAAACCGGCCAGCTCTTGATTGGCGGTTTTCGGGCGAAAAGAAAATGAACTTCGGGCCGCAAATTGTGTTCTGGGTAGTTGTGCTCTCATATGTCATGTACAAATAAAAACCTTGGCGAGCATAAACACCAGGTCAGTGTCCCTTTAAAGTTGGCAAGATTTTCATGTGCAATCACACTTTTGGCAACTTCATGCCAATACATCTCTCAGAAGGGACAAAATGTGAAGATTACAAGAGAATAACTAGGTACAAACAGCAATAATTGTATCATATTGCACCCCTTAAAATTTGAAAAATATAGCATCCTTATGGACTTTTAAATTTTTTTCGAACAGCCAAGCCCAGAAACTGAACCTAGGCCAATCTTTCTTGTAACTGCAAGGATTGTGGGAGTGCATTGTTTTCAAAATTCTAATACTGAATTTGGTCATACTATGGAGTAGAGTCCACTATACAGGCATTCACACTGCAGGGCTTAAAGCCCATCTGATAAGCAAACTTCCGTGTTTATCTTGGCTTATCTGGAGATGGGTTTTCTAGAAATAAAACTCCTCACTCAGAGACAGTGCAGTGTACACAGGCTGTTACATCTCATACATTACATAAATCTTAGAAGCGTTTCAGGACTTCATCTGACCATATCACTAATTCTTAAAAATGGCTTGATATCTCGCAATACATGTATAAACATTCACAGCATCCAGTCAGCTTACTTTAGCTTTTTTTTTTATTACATACTAAAAAGCACACTATTTCTATCAATACTTATATCTCTCTGTGGCACTGGTATTAAGTTGTTTGCCCAGTTTTAAAAAAGTTCAAAATGCAGTCAAATGTTTATTAAAGTTTATACACAGTTATTTGTGGGGCTGAATCAAAGAATAACAAGCTCTGCTGATTTACAGGGGTGCAATTAACTACAGCTAAAGCTAGCTGTTACTACTTTGATACTTGTGGTTTCAGAAGGATCTACTGCACAAGAGACCACCGACACAAGAAGTGAACCAACCTCAGCTATCCACTGGTGCGGAGTCCAGAGAGGGGTACCGGAAGCCAGTGTACCTCTGGGAGGGAAATGTTTTTCTTATTTTATGAACAGCACATGCTGGCAAAACTCGCCGGTTTCCAGTGCCCAGGCGACCCCACATCCAGCGGGTGAATTGCCGGTACGCCACAAAGCGATACTTCCTGCAGAAAAGAAAAATCGAGCTTTTGTTTTTGTAGACAGGAAATGAACAGTACCTGGAAAATCTAAGCGAAGTCCTTTTTCGGGAGGACGTCCAGCTCCCTTGTCACACGGTGTTGAATGTTGGGAAGCACAATCACACAGATCCCAGGTCTAAATAAAACGGACAATTTCACGCTTGAATGCCCACTTCCTCCGCTAACATTCATACTGTGAGTAGACGATCCTGTATGTTTTCTTTGCGACATGCAGTTCCAAGCTTGCCAAATTGACAAACATCTTCGATGCTGTCCTGCCTTTCTTAAAAATGTTTAAACCCGACATAAACCTACCTCAGAGTAACAACCTGTTAAATACTTTTGCACATGCAGAAAGACAAAAGTTTTCTTGGTGCATTGTGATAGCGGTGGTGCAGTCAAACTGGTTGGTGAGCAGGGCGGGGCATAGATACTCCAGAGAATATTCAGGAATACAAATACTGAGATATATGTATTTTGAGGCCTAAAATACAGATGCTATATATCTGTCTTATGCAACGGGATGACCCTGAGACACCTCTGAAAAACATTGAAAAAGTATTCTGGAATACAGATACAGACACTTATAAAAATACATTTGTTCCTGAACGGTGCTACGTGGGGAGGGCATACTGTTGAAATTAGGGCTAGTTGGTGAAGCATGTTTAGGGGTCAAACAGCGCAAACAAGGTACTCTTGCAATACATTTGTATCGCAATACTGCCCAGCCCTGCTGGTGAGATCGGTCTATCTGCAGTATTCCTGTGTTTTTAAAATAATAATAGCGGGCGATTGTCCACAGTGGGTGCTTCTGCAGTATTTGACAGTAGTGTCACCTGTCACGCCAACTCCCATTATTTTGACAGGCTGTTATCTATAGGTCTAAGATATGTGGTGCAGTTGGCCTATGTGTATATACTACTGCCTTTCCATGTAATAAAAACACTGTTGATATGTTTAACTGTGTTGCAGTCTATTTTCTATGCGCGGTACATTGCTACTTGCTAGGAATGAGATTAATCCCTAGAAAAGCATATATGCTTGCTTTGTCAAAAGTAAATTTTGTGCAAAATCAAACAAAATATACACGACAAAATGAAAAAAAGGAAAAAAAAAGCAGTGATTTAATTTGGGATATTTTTGGCAAGACAGTAAATGCGTAAACCTTTGAGCAATAAGGAGTCGTGCATGATGCATAATTTTCACCAAATAAGATGCAGAAATTGAAGAACAAATATAAAGCTCAAAATTATGAACACAAGGAAACCATGCAAGTTTGGGCTTTCGAAAACATGAACCCATACTAAAAGGTTCCGTGAGTCACCGCACTCACACAAGTCCCTAAATGTTTACATGTACATAATCACGGTTTTCGTTTTGGGTACTGTGACGTCTGCGCCACGGCTAATTCGGCTAGGTTGCCTCATGCCAACCCTCATGCCCGCCTACTCACTCGTGCAGCTGGTGTTGAAGCTCACGACCGCTCTCAAGGACTTCGCAGTATGCCACCGCAAGAACGGCAACATCTAAGCATAGCTTCGAGAAGTCTCCGTCCAACGTGATGCACCGCGTCGGTTGCTTCCGTACGGCCGGTGCGAGCTGTCGGCATCGCAGTACAGCGGCCGCAGTCGCACCTGTTTGATTGCAAAAAACAGTCGTTAAAAGCCGAGCTCCCCGATTGTGCGCGGAATGTGATTATGGGAATAGCTACAACGAAAACGCTCACCAATCTGTGCTTCCAACTCGACGAGGTGGCGGTGGCTCCGGTAGTGGAGCGGTAGGAAGCACGCCCGGAACTTCGTCGAGTTGGGGCCGAGAAGCCTCGCCAGCGCGCTTCAGACGCTTGCGAGGAGTGTCCTCGTACGGTACTACTCCCAGTTCCGCACTTCTATGGAGGATTCGGACCTCCAACTCCGACAGACCCGGTAAATTCATGCCGGCAAGCGCGGTGGAGGGCTGAAGCGAGCAACGAGCCGTTGACGCGTTGCAGAGGAAGCGGCCATTAACGTAAGCCGTAGCCGATTGGCCAGTCACTACGCCAGGCCAGGACCAACCACAAAGCCAGGACCAAAGACGTAAGAGGGAGGTTTTTTTCTGCTTTTTTTTTGCTTTTTTCTTGTAATTTTAATTTGCCTATAACTTTTAAAATAAAGCGAATTTCGAGAAAAGAAAAAGTTCCCCGAGTTACTACGTTCAGTGCGCTCAGGACTGGTGCAAATTAAAAAATAGTAAAAAAGGCATTGCAGGGCCCCTTTAAACCAAAACAATCTTCCTTTTTTTTTCAGTATCTTAGCACTAGCACTGCAACGAGACGCGCAGTCGTCCGGATGATCTCATCGTCGCGGCGCGAGACTTGAACCCTTGACGGTCAAATGCACGTATTCGCTCAGCGTACTTCCCAAACGTCGTAGGAATAAAGAGGGGCCAGTCATAACAATCTCAAATTGTCGAAGAAAAAAGAAAAAAGGAGAAAGTTTGTTACAGAAGACCCTCTAGCCGAGGCAAACCTCACATGCTTACCCGACCCCGCACAGCCTGTTTCTCAAATTCAACGCTGCCGTTAAATCCAGCGCCTCGGTGGAACATCTTTATAGCTTTGCTGGGGACATCTTTAGGAGGGAAAGGCGAAAACTCTTCTATCAAAACCTTTGAAAGTCAATTGCTTCTGCAAGCGGATAAACTATTTTCGTGAGAACGCAAGCCATAAAGTGACTGCATTTATTTTAGGCTCGCAGGGTTTTTCACGGATCAGAACTGCTGTTCATTTTGCTACCACAAAAATATAAAAAAGTAAATTCGAAAGTAACTTCAAAGTAACTCGCTACTTTTTTACAGTAGTTAGTAGTTTACTCAATTACAAATGCGTAATTTCTACTCTACTCCAATTACTTTTGGCGTCGATACTCAGTAACCTAACTTAACTACATTTTTTGAGTAATTTGTACATGTCTGCCACACCCTCAGAAGGGGCTTGATAACGTGGAGCTTGTTCTCTTTTTTTATATCCTAATCCAGCTGCCTTGACTTCATGATAAATATTTGTATGAACAGTTTCAGGTCTTGGTGTGGTAGGCCAAGGGGCAATTTTGGGCACTCTTTCGCAGAGGCAGCAAGGAAGTCTGCTTTCTCATTGCCAGGAATACCCACGTGGCTTTGGACCCAGCAGAATTTGATTAGGTGTCCTTGTTAAAGTGCTTGATTTAGCCGAACCCGAAGACGTTGCACAAGAGAGTTCTTGCTGTCTGTTAAGGACGAAATTGCTACAAGAACGCTCTGGGAATCGACAAACAAAATTGCTTTCATGATATTGTTCTCTAATAAATACTCCACAGAAATTAAAATGGCGTACAATTTAGCTGTAAAAATACTTCCAAGAGTGTTAAGCTGTCGAACGTTCCTGAAAGCAATGGAGTAAACCGCACATCCCGCAAAAGCTGATGTTTTAAACCCATCAGTGTAAAAATGCAAATCATCCTTGTATTTGTGTTCCAAATCGAAAAATTCCTGTTGAAGAACAAATGGAGAAAGAGCTTTCTTTCTGTACTTGGCAGTGACCAGTCACAGGAGATTGCTGGAAGGTCCCAAGGCGCAACTGTCTCATTGCTCCTCAGCAAAACAGCCTCACCAAAGGGAAGATGGAGCGATGTTGTCATCCCTTGAACTTTGAAACTCAGTGGCTGAACAATACAAGGCTTGTTTTCAAAGAGTCGGAAGGATCTGGAAGGTAGGAGGGCATCAAAAGTGGGATGTTGAGGATAGCTGTATATCCTGCAAGCATAACAAAGACTCAAATATTGTCTTCGTCTTTTCAGGGACATTTTATGTGTTTCAGCATACAAGCTCAGCAAAGGTAATGTTCGAAATGCCCTCGTAGCGAGTTGGAGCCCCAGATGATGGAGGGAGGCCAACACCTTTAGGGCAGACGGACGCGCCGACCCATAAACAATCGCGCCATAGTCAAGGCGGGACCGCACCAGGGAGTTATAGAGTCGCAAGAGGCACCGTCTGTTAGACCTCCAGGACGTATGCGACAGAACTTGAGGATTTTTGATGAACGGAGGCATTTATGTTTAAACTCTTTCAAGTGGGGTATAAAAGTGAGCTTTTTATCAAACATTATCCCTAAAAACTTGTATTCTCCTTCACAGATATAGCAACGCCATTCAAGTGCAACACTGGATCTGGAGACAAGCCACGGCGGAGTGAAAAAGGAACACAGATTGTATTTACGGGGGAGAACCTGAAGCCATTTTGATCAGCCCATTCGCTCATCCTATTGATTGTGAGCTGCAATTGCCGTTCACAGCTGGACAAGTTACAAGAAGAAAACAGTATCTGCACTTAGTCAACTTACATTGAATGGGATACAAATGGTGGTATAACCTTAGCCAGACTATTAATCTTCACGGCAAAAAGTGTTACGCTTAATACTCCATCCTGAGAGACGCCATTCTCTTGGAGAAAAACATCCGATAGGATGGAGTCCAAACGCACTTGGAAGGTCCAACCCGTCAAGAAACTTTGAATGCAGCGAAGCATGCGATCTCGGACACCATATGAGTACAAGTCTCGAAGGATCGCATACCTCGAAGTAGTATCATAAGACTTTTCGAAATCAAAAAAGACAGAAACACAATGCTGGTGATGGACAAATGCTTCCCGAAAAGAAGTTTGCAGGCGGATAAGGTGGTCAACGATGGAGCGGCCCACTTGGAAGCCGCACTGATTTCTATCAAACACACCATCTGCCTCAAAAAAGTGGACAAAACGGCGATTAATAAGTCTCTCGTAGGTTTTGCCCAGGCTGCTTGTCAATGCAATTGGGCGATAGCTCGTCGGTAAAGAGGGGTCTTT